CTGCAGCACATCGAGGGGGATGGGATTGAAGCCCACAAGCTCATAAGTCATATATGAGGAAACCCAACCTAGGGACTAGAGATCCTATAACCAGGTTCAATGGGAAGAACGAATCATATGATGACTTAGTTTGAAATGCATTATTCTTATTATTGCCATCCCTATGGTATGAATGCATTTATCCTGTAATGATTCGCGAGGTTGTGTTTTATTAACTCTTAATGAAAATCTTTAGCTCGTATGAGTGGCGTATTAGAGTTACAGGAGCACTCTGGATAGTTTTCACCTATGTGAGTGTGGAAGTAGGCCGCTTCCTATGAGAATTGAGCTTGTTCTAAAAAACACTCATGAAAACCGAGATAGCACAAGGCCGTAATGTGCTGGCTAATAAAGCTCATGTCAACACTTTGATTATTATGTGTAAGCAGTGATAATTTATTTTCCTAAAGCACTCATAGTTCAAGTCTAAGACCACTACCGGCTCTGGAGTAAAGATCGATGTTTTGCTAAGTGGAGGTTCAACGTAGAGCACACCTTCTTTATGCATAATAACCTCCCTTCAACTAAACTCTCTTATTTTAATATTAAAATGAGTGCGGGCATGTTAGTGTTTTACCATTTTATTATTAAAATAAAATATGCTATAACTCCCACTACTCCATGATGTAGATAATGTGTATAACTCTCATAACTCCCACTACTCCATGATGTAGAAAATGGCCATAACTCTTTTGTAACTATTCTTCCATGTTCTACCACTATTTACACACTAATTATCCTATGTTCTCCATGATTTCATAACTTATTAACTCACTTTCTTCCAATTTAATTTAAGGAAGGCCTACACCTATAAATAGGAATCTTTCTTCCATAATGTGGAGTGAAAAAAATAATTGTAGAGTGTTTCAATAAGGTGAGGTTAAAGTTGTTAAAAAGAAGAAGAGAGTTTTTACTTTTGTTGAAGAAAGGTGTTCATCTTGGTGGAGCTTTGGACTCAACAACTTATCCAGAGTTTGTTCGAGTCATACGACGTGATCGGGCTGTTGTATCCTGGGGGAGACAAGCCAAGAGGATTACTGCTGGACCAATGAAGACTTTGCTGCAGTGGGCTTGAAACTCCTTAAAGAGAGCGAGATATCCGCGCCTCAGCCTGAAGATATTTTATTTTCTTCATTTTATTTTTGAACTGTATTTGTATTTTCACCAAACAGTTACATCATTGTAACTTCGGAAATCCTGGAGTTGAGCATCAGGATTATACCGAGGGTCATCATCAAAGTCACCATCAACGTTAATTTTGTTGCCTTGAGCACCACCTCAGCATTAACTTCACAACACTCAAACCCCAATAGATTAAAGGAAAATGAAAACACGATGGACAAATGAACAATGTGTATTAGAATAGAAGTATTTTACTGAAAAAATATTTAATCAGCTTCTATTTTTTGGACACAGTGTAATCATCTTCAGAAGGGGTGAAAACTAGAATTTGACTAAAAATCTTAAATAGTTACAGGCAGAAGTGCTTGGCATAAAGACAATGAAGAGAAATTCTTTCCAAGCCACCTCTAAAGCTGCTCTTGACATGCAAAAGATCTGAAATTGGAAGTCCTTCGACTGAAGTTTCTGTCTGATCTCCAACGTATGGGAGTTTGTTTGGTCTGAAAAACAGACCAACAACACTATTTGCTCTTCTTTTTTTCTTAATATCGGTGGTGGTGTTCGGTCCAATTTGTGCGCACCTCAACTATTCCAATAGGTATTTGCTACCTCTTATTGAGATAGTGTATCTATTATATGTATAGGTATTGTTTGTTAGTAGTTTGTTAATAGCTAGTTAATTGTGTATTAGTTAGCTGATATTGGTCATTTACAATACACACGTGTAAAGTGTATATAAGTACTCAGTTGAAAGTCTATGTCACGACCCCAAACCCGATCGTGATGGCGCCCACCAACATTGCTAGGCAAGCCAGACCACAATCGTTCCCAAATTAACCGTAAACCTCAAACCGACAATCTAAAGAGATTATAATAGTTTTTGAATAATAATCCAATATTTATGATAGAATAATACTGAGAAAAATACGAAGTCTGATAAAACACTCCCAAGGACCTGGGGTCACGAGTCTAGAGCCTCTAAAACAATTTGAATAACAATATCTAAATGAAAATACTCAAGTCTGGAAATGTATATATAAATAAAACTGAAATAGGAAGAGTAGTCAGGTCCTGCGAACGTCAAGCAGCTACCTCAACAACTCTGATAAGCTCTGGGAAACAAAGACTGCTCAGCTAAGCCTCCGGTGTACTTGAATCTGCACACAAGGTGCAGGGAGTAGGGGTGAGTACTACCGACTCAGTGAGTAATAAGCATATAAAATGTCTGAAGATAAGAAATCCACGAAATGCCACAAAGTAAAGCTAAAACTAACAGTCCAACACCTAACTACGAACTAACAGCAAAACAACTCAAATATATCAGTCAAGTATAATGTAAAGATGCAATGCAATGCACATGACCGCTACGGCGCGTAGCCCGATCCATTTAACGTCGACGGCGCTCACTGGGGGTGTGTACAGACTCCGGAGGGGCTCCTTCAGCCCAAGCGCAATATAATCATACGATTCGCTGCGGCGTGCAGCCCGATCCATACTCAGTCCACAATATGCATATGAGTCACGTAACAGATTCAATTAATTTCCCAATTTTCAATTTATTAAGAAGAATATACTTTAGATATTTAACTTCAGGAAAAGTGACTTAGCGTTTCATAACAGTGATTAAACACAGGACTGAGATCAATGATTATACAAAGCATGCTATCACAATGACAATCATCCTCTAAGGATGCTACAGATCGGCACAAGGCCCCAAACACGGCAATAAGCCCAGATATATTCAATACAGGGTGCGTATCAGTCGCCAATATAGAAATATTCTTGTTCGGGATGGATTAAGTCTCGATCCCCAGTCATAACCAATCCCGCACCTGCCATGGGGTGCGAGTCACGCCCTACAATAGCGTCACAATGTGATAAGCCGGGGTTTCAAACCCTCAGGCCATCGTATACACCAACTACTCACCTCTATCCGGCCGTAGAATGGTCCGCAATGCCTTTTCCTTTCGTATAGACCTCCTCGCGCGTCGAATCTAGTCAAAATCACAACGAATACATAAATATGGGTTAAAGAAACATAACCCAATCAAAAATACTCGAAAAGTACTAAAATTCACGAAGTTGGTAAAACCCGAACCCCAGGCCCACTTCTCGAAAAATTCCGAAAATCACATCAAAGGATTCCTCGTCTCGCCACAAGTCCGTGCATATAAAGTTTACCAAAATCGGAGCTCGTTTGACCCTCCAAATTCCATTTTTACATCACAGCTTTCCAAGCCCTAGCCTGACCCGTTTTTAATGAATTTTCTACAATTTACATGTAATTTCTACCATAAATTCGAATATTTAGGCCAAGGAACTTACCTCCAAGTGATTCTCAGTCAAAACCCTCGAATTTCCTTGTTCAAAGCTCTTAAGAACGTCAACAATGGAGGAAAAATATGAAAGGGTCGCGGATGAAATATTATTTTAAAACCCTTCTGTCGCCCAGCGATTTTTCGCTTCTGCGGTCCCGCTTTCGCTTATGCGGGACCGCTTCTGCGGCCATATGACCGCTTATGCGGTTTTTCATTAAATCCTTGGCCTTCCACTTTTGCGCCCAACCATCCGCTTCTGCGGATCTCACCATTCCACTTCTGCGGCCTCGTTTTCGCCTATGCGGACACGCTGAAGCGACACCCCGTCCGCTTTTGCGGAATTACCCCGGTCCCTCATGGACCGCTTATGCGATCTCTTAGCCGCATCTCCGGAACCGCTTCTGCGGCTCCTTTTCCGCAGATGCAGAAATACCAGAAGCCAGGTGCACCAGACCTGCAACAAACATCAAGATTCTCCGTTTAACCACCCGAAATCATTCCGAGGCCCCCGAGACCTCAACCAATAGCACCAACACACCCCAAGACCTTATTCAAACTTGTTGCAATCATCAAAACACTATCGTTAACATCAAAATCGTCGAATTACCACAGATTCAAGCCTAAGTTAAACTAAAACTTCCGAAACTTGCATTTGATCTAAAACCCGACCTAAACACCTCTGAATGATCTGAAACTTTGCACGCATATCTAAAATCACCTAACGAAGCTACTGCAACTCTCGGAATTCCATTCCGACCCTCGGATCAAAATCTCACCTACCATCCAGAATACGCCAAAATTCAACCTTAGCCAATTCAAGCCTAATTCCACACCGGACCTCCAAATTCAGTTCCGATTGCTCTCCTAAGTCACAAATCATCTCCCGAAACTGGTCGAATCATCGGAAATCCATTCCGAGCCTTCTAACTCATAAGTCAACATTCGGTTGACTTTTCCAAACTAACCTTATCATAAAGAGACTTATTGTCTCATTTCTAACCAAACTCTGTCCGAATTACTTCAAATTCTCCAAACACGTATAATGAAACATATAGAAGCATAAAACGGGGAAAACGGGGCGGTAACTCCCGTAACGACAGGTCGGGTCGTTACAGTCTAATACAGTTTAGTCAGTTCATTTCACATAACCGACCTTCTCTCTTCTCTGTTCATCTTCGAGAACCTTCTAGGGTTCCTCCATTGGAGCTCAAGCTTGAGTTCTGCTCCTCCATTACTCTCATTGCTTTGACATGGTATCATAGCGAGGTATTCTACTTGTTATTCTCTTCAATATCTTTCTCAATTTATTGGATTCTAAAGATACAGTCACCGTCTCCATTTTTGCCCTAATTTTCTCGATCCGACATTTTTCTTCTTCTCGCTTCATTTTTTTGACAAATTGACACTATCCCTGTCCTCTTCCCTTTCGACATCAAGATAATTGACGAATGTGGTGCTTTGAACATTTTCGCTGAAGTCGAAAAGATAAACATCTACCTGGTATACCAGCAATCCCTTCTCATGGCTATCCTTGATCCAAACACTGATTCTGGAGTTGAATCAAGTGATTCAACCTACACCGCCGCTACTGACCCCAGGGTCAATCCAAGCTGCCCATTTTACATGCATCCATCGAATAATCCTGGTGCGATGTTGGTGACAGCTCCGTTCAACGGCGTCGGATATCGATCCTGGAGAAGGAGCATCCTCAGAGCTCTTTCAGTCAAAAATAAAGTAGGATTCATCACCGATGAGTACAAGCGACCAGATCTAGACTCTCCACAATTTCGTCAGTGGGAAAGGTGCGACGATATGGTAACCTCATGGATCCTGAATTCTCTGTGCAAGGAAATTGCTGACAGTGTTGAGTACGCTAACAATGCTTTTGAACTTTTGAGGGAATTGGAAGATAGGTACGACCAGACTAATGGCACTAAGTTGTATCAAATCCAAAATGAAATTAACGATTTAGCTCAGGGAGTCCTCGATGTTACCGGATATTATACGAAAATGAAGAAGCTTTGGGAGGAATTAAGCATGATAAATTCTAAGTCACAATGTAGTTGTCAGTGTACTTGTGGGGCTAAGGAGAATATGGCAAGGCTGAACAAGATAGAAGACTTATTCAGTTCCTCATGGGATTAAACAAAGAGTATACCACAGTGTGAGGTAGTATACTCATGATGAATCCACTGCCTTCCATGGCACAGGCCTTTTCTTTGCTCATTCAGGAAGAAAAGCAACGAGAAGTGAAGCCACATAATCAACTCATGCTCGATTCTGCTTCTTTGAATGTTAATGTTCCTTCGCACAATAATTTCAATAACAGAGCATCTATGAATAACAACTTCAGAACCAATTACTCCCCAAACAATCATCCTTCCACAAGTGCCAGACCACGTCCCTTCTGTGATCACTGCAAATGCACTGGCCACACCAAAGACAAGTGCTTCAAGCTCCATGGCTATCCGCAAGATTTTAATCAGAATCCTAAGTATTATAAAGGCAAAAGGACCACAGCTAATGTACACACTACTCCAGTCGATACATTCTGCATGAAAGGTGAAGAAACACAAACTCAAGGTAGCAACTCCAATGTGAGTCTCACTAGGGAGCAATATGGGCAGTTGGTGACTTTGCTTCAACACTTTCAGACCAGCACTGGAGGAGATAACTCAGACAATAATGTGACTGGTGGAGCTATGAACTTTGCAAGTATTTTTGCTTGTTCCGCTTCTGTTCTCTCTTTTGATTTTGGCCTGCTTTCATGTAAATGCTTTAAATCAAGGGCTGACATTTGGATCCTAGACTCTGGGGTCTCTAACCATATGACCTTTAACAAATCCTTACTAACTCACATTAAAACCTTAGTGTATCCTATGTTAATTACACTACCAAATGGCTATAGAGTCAAAGTTACAGAAATTAGAACTGTCTCATTAGCACCTAACATTGTTCTGCATAGAGTCCTCTATCTTCCATCCTTCAAGTACAATCTTATATCAATTCACTCTTTAGCTTCTCAACTTAAAGGTTTGGTTGCCTTCTCTGACTTTCTTTGTCTACTGCAGGCCCCTTCAATGAAGAGGCCTCTAGAGATTGGTAAGGTCAAGGATGGCTTGTACCTCCTGTGTTCGAGTTGTCTGAAGAATTCATGCTCTACTTCACATGTTTCTTTACCTGTTTCTTGTTCTATTTTGTCTAAACCTTCCGAATCATCCTGAATCAACATCCTGAATCATCTGTAAATGTTCCCATTTGCCATTCACAATCAGTTGTAAATAATTCCATCAGTAAGAAAACTCAGTGCATTTCCTCACATTCTCTCTTGTCTGATAAGAATCAAGATGACTTGCTGTGGCATTACAGATTAGGTCATTTACCCTTTGTCAAAATGATGGGGATATCCTCCATCCCTGTTCAGTTCTCAACTAAACAGCCTTTCCTCTGCTCCATTTGTCCTATGGCTAGACAACCTAGACTTTCCTTTCCTCACAGGACTAGCACTACTACTTCCATTTTTGCGCTTCTTCATGTAGACCTCTGGGGACCTTATCATATTGCTACTCATGATAATTACAAAATATTTCCTCACCTTGGTGGATGATCATAGAAAGTCCACTTGGACCCACCTCTCACTACAACAAAAAGGATGTTTAGCGGCAATTAAAAATGGTTTTAGCGGGAATAACAATAGCCGCTATAGCTTTTATCAGCCATTGGTGTTTAGCCGCTGATGTTGGGGTCGCTAAAGCCTTTAGCGGCTATTGTCACAAAAGCTGGTAAAAGGTATGGTTTATTGCCGCTAAAGATTATCATCTTTAACGGCAATTGTTTGCGGCAATTATAATGGCTACTAAATCTAATCCATAACGGCTAATTATACTGCTTTAGCAACCATTTTTTATAGCTACTAAATTCAAAATAATTGCCGCTAAAAGTTCACATCATTAACGGCAATTACTATGGCTACTAAATCGAATAATTATACTCCTTTAGCATCCATTTTTATAGCCGCTAAATTCAAAATAATTGCCGCTAAATGTTCGCATCTTTAGCGGCAATTATTTTGTGGCAATTAAAATGGCCATAGTATCCCTTCTGAAAACATATTAGTTTGCCATTTTAGTGGCTAATATGATTAACTAAATTGCCGCTAAAAGTCAATATTTTTAACGGTAATTATTTTACAGCAATTATAACAACTGCAATATCCCTTGTAAAACATCTTAATTTGCCATTTATCGTCCATTTATATAGCTGGTATATCCAACTAAATTAGCGTTAAAAGTCACAAGCGCTAATAGCAATATTGTAGCCACCATTAATAATAGTTACTATATTTATCCAAAATATGACCCAAATAAGAAAATAAATTAATATTAATTTTAAAAAAATATATCTCATTAAATCTTAACAAATTAAAGGAAGCACCAATCAAAAATATTGATGTCACAATAACTAAACTTATATTGTTTGAACTAAATAGCTAATGTCATTATATAACTTATCCAAACGAATGATAGTCTTCAAACGATTTTCGCAACTTTTCATCATTATGAAATCTTCCACCAGCTGAATTATCGAGCATCAAACTGTATGACCTGAAATAATAAAATAATTATATCAGAAGATAAAATACAATGCGGAAAAACATCTTCAAAATTCCATCACTGTCACGATTCATAAACAGAAAAAACATTGCTATTAACAGAACAACAACCATCAAGCAGAATAACCACAAAGTGCAGAAAATTTCAGCTGAAAACAGTCAACAAAAATTGCAGAAACATACAGATTTTATTGAAACTACAGCAACACCACATGCTACTGTTCCTATGGTGCCAATAGAGGAAGTGTTAAAGCTGGATAAGGGACCATCTAAACCTCCAAAAGATGTCCCTGCTGCTACTGTGTTTGGAAGAATGTTTTTAGCTACTACTGGTGCTTTAAAAACTGCTACTGATCGAGCCATTGTGAATGCACGGGCTGGGAATGGAAAAATACATAGGGCAATAGGAGATCAAAATAATGAAGAAAAGGATAGGGTAAAGGGTGGAAATGGTTCATCAGGTGGTAAAGGTGGTAGTGAGGCTGATTCCTCTCATAAACTATCTGCAGGTGCACAGCAAAAACTTGCAAGGGAAACCTCTGACAGAGAAGCAGTTGCCCAGACTTTAGGGATTGAAAAAGATGGGCATATGAGCATAGACCTGGAAAATACAATTGGGAAGGTATTTGAGGATGATAAGGGAGGTGATAGGAACAAAGAGGAGGGAGTTTGGAACATGGTAACAGGTAGAAAATCTTCTGCAAAGAAAGGGGTTTCTCCAAAATCTTAGAACTTAGGTGTTCGACAAAATGCTTCGAACTGTGTCTCCAACTCAAATAATTTCAAAGTTCTGGCAGCTGTGGATGATGGGAAACTGGATTCAACAATGGAAAAAGATGATATGATGAACAAACAACTTGTTCCTTGCACAGGTAGCGAAAAAGGATTACAGGATAGTGAAAATTTGGCAAAGGAAGGGAGTGTTCGATAGCAGGCCTCAAAGAAAAATGGTGTGGAGGAGCTAATGGGCACACACAGTTCTAATGTTCCTACAATACATTTGTCCAGCCCTCATGTCGAACAAATCATTAAAGAAGCTCAGAATGCAATGATGATGCATACAAACATGGTTAAACAACCAATGGTCACTTTGAACACCTCAATCTATGAAGTGCCATCACAATCGTTGGAATCGTGTGGTGAACATGGAGTGAGTTGATGTTGTCCTCTAGGAATAATAATGAAGTTATAAAGGCGAATGTGAGGGGGATGGCTATCAAATCCAGGATATGGTCAGATCAACGTGGGTATGAGGAGGAAGAAGACTACGATGATACGTATGTTGGGAACTCGAGTGAAGATGATGATCACGAGAGTGAAGATGCAAATTTGATCTCAGTTGAATCAGCAGTAGCAGTTCTAGGACTGGATAAAGCAGGAGAAGAACTCAAACTTGAGTCAACTCCTCAAGATCTCAGTAGATAGTAGTCAGAACTTCAACAGCAATAGACAGACACTACCAAGTGCGTGATCTTGAACAAGATACTCAAGGGATTCATGCTACCAAAACAAGTAGGAAGAAAAATACAAACAAGAAACGGAAGCGGATGGTTCTCAGGTGCATACTGAACCAGAAGCAGATGGTTCTCAAGTGCATACTGAACCAGAAGCAGGGGAATCACAATTCGAATAAGGAACTCGAGCCAAACTTACGAATTCAACTCAATTAACTCAGACGATCGAGTAGAAGTTCAGTTTTTAAACTCATACATCAAAATCAGGAATAAATAACGTGGTGACAAGATGACATTGCTGCTCTTCTTCTCCCTCAGAACTGGAATCAGTAGAGTTTAGCTCAAGCCATTTTTATAGCAGCTATAGGGAACAAGTTGGTAGGAATATTTGGTGTTTCTATTAGAGGATTGCAATTCAAACACATTAAAGTTGGTTCTAGGATCATTAATTGTTTTTAATGTTTTCAGTGTGCAGGTCAACTCGAAATTTGCAGAAAAGACCAAATAGAACTTCAGCAGCAATAGACACTAGATTTCAGGTCAATCACATTCAATTCAAACAAGCAGAAACAAACAAGGATAAGTTCATCAACTCAAACAAGTCGCAGGGGAATCACAATTAGAATAAGGAATGTACGAGCTACCCTGTTTGTAATAAGTCATAGCATTATACTCGGTAGAAAGTCATCTGTAGTGTGTGTTACTTTACAGAACATGCTGGTGCTTCAAATGGTCTATGAAGACCTCAGTTTTATGACTGCTATTTCATTATCTATTGCTCTCTTATGTAAATGGTACTAACACTGAGAAAGTTACAATCGAATTATGGAAGCATGTAAGTCGAAACTATATCTTGTTTCCATTTCTTGCAAGTTTACATGAAATCAGGATTCTAATGATAAAAAAATTGAAGGAAAATTCAAACAATAGAAAACTGAAATAGTAGCACCGAAGGATAAAGATGAGTAGTACCTTGAGACAGTGAAGTATTTTCAGCAACACTAGGTATCCTTGATGTTTGTGGTACTCGTTTATGGCCACTGTTGGCGTCAAGGACCTAATAAATATTAACACATTAG